TATGGTAATTGAGTAGTATCACCAGTAGTTTTGCTCTTATGAGCATTAAAGCACATAATAATAGACAAACAACAGTGGTTAAAGCAAGCAGGTAGGATTACTATGTTCTTTTGTCAGAAGTATATAATGTCTTGTAGTCAGTTTTAAAGACTTCTCAACCCCCAAATCCACCCAGCAGTCACCTGCTGAGTAATTTTGTATGCCTAATCTCTAGCCCTTAACTACAAGCTTTCTGCTAATTTGAGGCAAATGGGTATTTTTGACACTAAATAGGGCAGTAAAGAATCCCTGACCTAGAAAAACTCCATTCCAAGGCACTGAGAGCAGAAAAATATTCTTTCAGCATCCTTGTGAGACCTTTGGAATGACATAAAATAGCTTTGACTAAACTGTGCTGCAGCCTTCGATTAATGGTTTGCAGAAACTTGCTGAACATCCCTACTACAACTTCCCCCATAAAACTTGTCACTTCAGATTGCCATCAGCCACCACAACAATAATCATTTCATGCCTATTGCTAATTGCAAGCACAGCTGAGGCTCAGCGGGGTGCTCTTGCACAGTCCCAGGCCTTTATACCAGCCTCAATCTGTTGTATGGCACTTGTTCACACACAAAAAAACTACCAGTAAAGGCAGAAAGAGGCAGAGTCACAGGTTCCTTGTAATCCCTCTGCTACCCTGCTGACAACCCAGCCCTATAAGCATTCCTGGTTTTGTCCCACTCTTTACAAAAGCTGAAGTGACCTTAAGCTACTAGTATGTAAGCTTTTGAATGAAGAATACAGCTCCTTCAGGTGCCTTAAGAAGCAGTGTTGCATCTGGCTTACGAGATTCTGTTTGCAGCACCCCTGGGGTGAGCTGTGGCTTCCTGTAACATGTAAAATATGAGTGTGAACTCAAGGTTCATGGCAAGGAACAGGAGGTCATGCTTCCATTCAGCTCACACCAAAGAAGACGGGGGTTTGCAGATGTTCCTGGGTATGTGTAATGACACCACCTCCCAGAAAGTGCAGGAGCCCAGCACAGGGTGCTTTTTTTGATAAAATGTGCCACACTCAGTGTGTTACTTGCAGATTTATTCATATCAATTTTTGCAATTTATGTATTCAGAGACAAACTTGCTATTTCAGCAACTTATTGATCATAGTTTTGCATTCAAAAAAAAAAAAAAAAAAAAACCAGGAGGGGATGAGGAAGCTCATTGCTCAAGCTGGTTGGGGTGTTGGATGGGCAGCCATGGAAGCCCACCCCTTGGTGTGCTCCAGCTCCTCTAATGCCAGTGCAGGAGCATCCCAGCCAGCCCATGACCCATCTCATCTACCCGGGCTAGCACCCAGCAGTGATGGTTGCTGTGAAAGACAGAAGAGGAACAGGAAAACTAACCTGAACCCCGGTCCCTTCCCTGCTGACGTCCCGGTGGATGTGTGGCATCCACTATGCATCCACCAGGATGCTCCCTCCACAGCCATCCCTCACCCTGTGCCCCCAGACTGACTGTAAATTGTCCTCTGAGTGACGGACAGGGATGCCAGCCAGCATCAGTAATGCGTGTGTGCACAGCGAGATATGGGGAGTTGAGGTCCACGGACCTGGGAGCACCAATGAGGTCTACTCATTCTTTACAACCAGATGTGAGGAGTTTTGAGAAAATATACTAGTTACTTTGGTGTGCCCGTGCCACAGCTGAGCGGGCGCTGGGGCTGCAGAAGTGTGCCTGAAATGTGTTGCAGCCCTACGGCAAGGCCCCAAAGTTCAGTATTTGGGCTGCGCCCTCTGCACCTCGTGTATGGGGACAAGCCACGAGGCTGGAGCTGGAGCCCCGAGGAATCCCGCGTCCCCGGCATGCACCCCGCTGCCCTTCGGGGAATGGCGGGCCCACCCGGGAGAGCGAGGCGGCCGGTGTCCCGACAGGACCACGCTGTGCTCTTTTGTCTGAAATGATCACGTTTCCATTGCGGAGCATTTGGCTTTGTTGTTGTTTTTTTAATAATATAATCATATGCAAATGTTATCTTCTTTGGTAGGTTAGTCATGAATCAGAGGGCTTGTGCGTCTTATAGCACATCAACACTAGTGATAGCTAAAGGGAACATTTAATTTATGGGCTAACTTATTTTTATGAATATGCAGGGCTTAAATTCAGCAGTTGGTGTGTGCTCTATGAAGTGACGTGACGGTTTTGTGTATCAAGATCAATGAATTAGACTTTGTCTTTTTCTTATAAAGCAGAAAGTCTTTGGAGTAACTAAGCTTTGAGAAAGAGAGCTCCTTTCAAGCAGACAAGCAATACGCCTGGCTGAGCCCTTGTCAGCCGGTGCTCAAGAGGAGAGGGGTACGATTCGGATTCGGCTCGGGGGAGGTTGCATCTCCCCAGAATCCAGCGTGTTGGAGTGCCGAGCAGAAACACAGAAAAATGTTTCATTTTCCTTAGTCTGAAGGTCTCGCAGCAGCCAAGTCACCTTGCCGATAACCTCCGGGCAGAGGTTCTAATTTCTGTTTCGGATCCACACAGCCGTGTAGGTGTGCGTGGCATGGGACGAGCAGAACAGCAGGACCTTTCCCCGCCGGGGACTTCTCGTCTGCTTTAGGGCTGACATAAACACCCGGCAGATCGTTTTGTGGAAGACGAGAGGCAGCAGTGGAAGGGAGAGGGCGTGCGTAACATACGGTCGCTTCGTTCCTCTGTGGGTTTTGATTTAAAGAGGTGGTGGAAGGAGGTGTTTGGGCAACCTGGGCGTCTGTGTGCCAGCACAGCCCTGGGTCACAGCTAATGCCACCCGAGAGCATGACTCATTTAGGCATGCTGATTGCAGGAAAGTAACATTATAAACAGTAAGGATCTCTCTGTTTTGCCCACGCGGGCCCCCAGCGTGACAAGGGAACGCAGGCAGATCCCCCAGTGACAGCGGTCGCTTTGTGCCACCCCCTACCAGCTGGCTGCCATCTGTCCTGGGTCGTTGTGCCCACACCCATAGGCACCCAGGGCTCTCTGGGGACATCCAGGGATGCTCTGAGGTCTCACACTAGTCTGGGGTTGGAAGCTATGAAGACCTACCAGACTTTCATGTCTCCTATGCTGGTCATGCCTACACCAGCTAACCAGGGTGCTTCACTCACAATTCAACCCCAATCTGACGTCAGGACCTCAGGTGACAGCTAACAGTATCTGAGCTTGACTCCTGTTACAGAGAGAGCTCCTGCTTGGCTGTCTCAGTTTCATTCAAGCTCTTAGCTCTTGCAGGTCTCCATCCTGGAGATCACAGGCCCGCA